ATCGGTAACAAAATATTTTTTATATCATACAGCTTTTCTTTTGAGTTTTTTTTTTCACTTACCTTCGGTGCGGGAGAGCAGCGGCAAGTCAGCGCTGGTCCGGTGGAGGGAGCTCCAGGCGGGGTCCTAATTTAGCTGGCCAGCGACTGCCTGAGGATCCCGACACGCGCGGCACCTCAGGCAGTCGCCGGCCAGCTAAATTAGGACCCCACCTGGAGCTCCTCCCACCGGACCAGCCGCTGCTCTCCCGCGCCGAAGGTAAGTGAGAAAAAAAAACATAGCGCAAACATCGGGGCATTTTGACAAGTACAAGTACTTGTCAAAATGCCCTGTTTTTTCCACCGCTGTGTTCAGGGGCGGGAGGGGGTTGTATTGAAGTCAATGGTACCGCAGCCATGCCCCCCTCCCACACCCAGAACGCAGGCACATTAGCCTGCAGCATTTTTACGGATCGCACTGGATTGGAATGCAGGCACTAATGTACCTGGGTTCCGGGTGCAGGCGATCGCACTGTGGGTGAGGGGCCAGGCTGCGGCCCTGTCAAAAATCCACCTTGCCTGTGTAGGCAGGAAACCTAGCACCGGCCCTATAAACAAATACCAATCGTATAATATAACATTAGGATGCAGCCAGGTGTGAGTACATAATATTAATACTAGAAACCAACCCAAATTATTCCAACAAACTCTAGGGCAGTCAATAAAAGAAACCAATGTAAACCCAAGTAGAATACATTGATAAATAGTTGGATATCATATCCCCCATGAATATACTACCAATGGTTGAAATAAGCTGAACTCTGTATGATCTAAAGTATCCAGTCATAGTCCGAATACAAAGTATCCAATAGTACTAGTGATCTATTGATTGTAATATAATCCTCTAACTATATAAACTACCATGCACTCCTCACACTAATGTCCCACTTATGGTATTTATGTATGTATTTTATTGTTTAAATGTTGTCAGTGGTTAGTCAATTTTGATTGAAACAATGAAATGCATAGAAGGCTGGACACAGTACAGACTTGCAGTATATCCTACTCTGATTATGACTATTTATAAAAATGATTTATTATAAGGAAATTGATGTTAAAATAAAATTATTGTATCAATCATGCTTGTATCATGCACATGTACAGAGTCCAGTGAGGTTTTATGCTGTTTGATCATGGATACTAGTGGGCATATTTTTTATCATGTGGATCATGTAATCTTTTAATAAATAAATAAATGTTATTTTATTATGTAATTTTGTCATTATTATGTTATATTATCCTTAATTGCATCCTTTGATACCTTAAAAGCCCCACCTACCTCTATTTTTTGTTGTTTACCTATATTAGGGGTGTGGTGTCCATGTTCATGTAGTGATTCAAAACCTTTTGTATTATGCATTTATAATACTCCACATCCTTACATAGACAACTCTACTACAAAATGACTATGATGTCTTGAGCAACATTCAAGGAACATTCATGGACTATCCAGGTGTATAAAGATATTAACATCAATATATAAAAATAAACACATTATTATTTTATACTAAAAGGTAAAAGGTCATCTATAAAAACAATAAAATTCATGCTTCACAATGGGTTACTTGATACAAGTAAGACACAAAGCACACCACGCCAGTGGTCTTACAAAATGTCCAAAATCAAATATATGAAGAAAATTCTCCCGTCCTATAGCACAGAGTTTCAGCGTATCGGAGCAGAGAAAACTTGGCGTGGTGCTGTATCAATCTGCTTCATCAGACTTTACAGTTTATTAAGAATCGCTTTCTAAATAAAGAGTACAAAAGAGTACAAAACATTGTTACATCTCTCAAATCAGTGTATGTGACTCAGTGCAGTCATTGTTCCTCATATACATACTTCCAGTATATATAGGCGGAGCACTGAAGTTAGATACCTCCTCCACAAACCACATACCATATTGGGCATCAAAACACCGTATGACTCAGGGACAGCTGGGAATCGCAAGGAGCAGCCTCCGGATAAAAACCTACAAAGCAATCCCACAGCTAGAGTGATTTCGAATATTACATGCATAAATAAATAAATACATGCATTTAAGCAAGAGGGTGCCGATCATTTGCACATATCATATCCCCAAATATGTATGCAACAGATATCGTATTCATCATCTTTATATATGATCTTTTACATTGTGTGAAATAAATTGTGTATTTTTTTAATATATTGATGTCAATTATCTTTATACACCTGGAAAGTCCATGAACGTTTCTCTAGGCATCTTAGTAATTTTGTGGTAGAGTTGTACTGGATTATATAATTACAAGCCATACCCTGAGCACACATATCCTAAATGTCACATCAAAGAATTGTTTCTAGTAAACATGTGCAAAACATAAAAATTAGTTTTCAGACGAAAGAAATTAAAACGAAAAATGTTTTCATTCGTTTCATCAAAGGAAACAAATTGTTATGTTGTTTCGGATTCGAAAGCAACGAGCCTCCGAATCTGAAACCGCAGAACAAGTGGCGGCCATATCGGCCGCCAGCGCGTTCTGCGCATGCGTGCCGCCATTTTGGAGTAGATCTAGGTACACACCAAGATGGTGGCGCCAGCATGTTCAAGCCCCGTCATTTTGATGTATACCTAGATCTACTCCAAAATGGCAGCGTCTGTATTTTGATCAGCACAGAATTCCTTTAACTTTTTTTAATAGTTTACAGCCTATCGCCGGGGCAAAAATAAACTGCAAGGATTAACTGCTTGTTAATGTCTAGGGGTATTGTGTAAAGGACATTTACTTACCTGATCCCTGGCAGTCGGTGCTCACCTCATTTTCCCCATGCACTAGTTTGTGGGACTGTCCCTCGGTGTCCTCATGGATAGTGCAGGGCTGCGGGCTTGATGACACCAGCAGACCTCTGACCATCGGAGCACGGGTGGGAGGAGGCTGCAGGAGTGGGGGATCAGTTAAGTAAAAGTGCTTTACACAGCTCCCCTAGACATTAATGAACAGTTTACAATTGCAGAGCAAGGGGTAACCCACTGTAAGTTTTTTTGTTTTTTTTAATCATGCAGAGAGGCTGCCATTCAATCCCAACAAGGAACTTTAAGGTGCCCATACACTGCACGATTCTCATACAATAATCATGCAGCGTGAATGAAGGCGTGCAAACATTTCTACTGTACGGTCGCACGTCTTTTGTCTAAGGAGCATGCTAGAAAACCAGCCGAAAATCGTAAGATCTTACGATTTTCGGCTTGTTTGAATGATGCTCGGGAGACAAATGCCGAAGGGGCCGGTGTGCGCACGCGTACACTGCCAGTTCAGCATTGCGGTCATTGGAAGCCCGCCCCTCAGGGGGGCAAGCTTGCAATGATCGCAAGTACGATCTGCCTGTCCAAGATGGGCAGATCGTACGTTTTTTTAATTACTTTACAACCATCGCAAGACTAAGGTCTTGCGATGATTGTAAAGTGTATGGGCACCTTTAGACAGCTAGTTGGCACCTGATGAAGCCAATGAAAATGTTTCTGTCTTGTATGGTATCACCTCTAGCTGAGCTGAGTTAACCCACTGTTAAATTATCTTTAAGACATACCTGTGTTATCTGATGATTTGATTAATTACTCCATTGTCACCTTGGTTCCCCTCAATTAACCTTTCCTTAGCCTCACCCCAGCTCTGTTACAGTAGGTCCACATAGAAGGCTTCCACGAATCCCACCCTTTTTGTACCACTGGCCTCTATACTTGCTCCCTAACTAGATAGTGAAACATGCCTTATCTCACAACATCTATGTGATCACATCATCATGCATGATTTGCTCTCTACCCTTCTCAGTCTAGAGTTTGTATACCCCCTTTACATGCTCCAGGTGATCCACCCATGTTTTTTATTATTCAATTGTATTTTTGCTCCTGGTTTTTTCTATTGGTATTGCTTACCTGTATATGTGTATGTATGTATGTTTGTTTTCAATAAAAATGTATATGCGAAAATGTTTCATGGAGATGTACTATATGACCAAATATAAAAAAAAAAGGAAAATACCAAATGCTAATCTATTCAACTTTTTACTTTACATATAGAAATGTAGTTCTCATCCATACTCGTGACTGTCTTGTATTCTGATATTATGTAAAACATTAAGATTCCTCTTTCTTGGCTATATTTGGCTGTTGTGGTTGGGTCTTCATACATATATGAAGGCGCTAGAGGGAAGTTATTGAAACTATGGGATGTTAAAAATCTCCTTCTAGTACAGACGATCCATCCTGACAATTACTGCCGAAGAAGCTTCATAGTGGATCTCTATAGATTGGTGAGAGAAAATATATTCATTTGTATAACATTTTTTTAGTTAAATAAAATTAAAATTGCATGATGCATCTACACTTGATTTTTCTCAACTGTATAAAAAGCAGTGCTTAGTAATTAGCCCTTGATCTGGCTTACCTTATCTCAGGTATACCTCGGGCATTTATTATCTGTACCCCCTAATTGCATATACTGTATATGTTTTCTGAACAATCCAATATGTTTTTAATAACTAATATACTTCATCATATGCTTTTTTTTATATTAAATTAATAAGAAGTAAAAAATATGTAAAAAAATAAAGTGAAATAAATAAAAATTTTAAAAAAGTGAAACAAATAAAAAAATAAAGTTCAATAAATAAAAGGTAAAAATGTTAAAAAAATAAATAAGTTTAATAAAAAAAAAAATACAAAAAAAGTTTTTTCAAAATAAACGGTTGTGGTATTGAGGATTGTGGGTGGCGTTGGACTACATGTTGGAACCGCAGGGCGCAGATGCCATCCTCAATTAAATCAGCTCTTGGCGCCCTGCGGTTGCGACATGCAATGAAAATGATTAGTGCCCCCCCAGATTTGACTGTGGTATCTTATGTGCCCCCCCTATATATTGTTCCTAGAGTCGCCACTGGTTAGGACTATGGGCAGTTGGATGTAAGTGGACATGTTGGTATACATCAGATTACCCCTGATCCGTCATGACCAGGTTCGACAAAACAGAACTCAGGTCTGTTTGGTTTTCTGGACCTGGTCGCAGTCAGAGGTTATCGGATGTAAATGGACACACATCCATTTAGATCTAGCTGCCCATAGAGTAGAATTAGGCTTCTGATCAGATCTGGCTGAAAACCTGACAGGCGGACCTAATCGAACCAATCCTCTGAAAGGGCTCTGAATGTCATTCAATTAGGGTTTACATCCACTTCAAATAAATAGTTGTGATTGATATTCATAACTCTTTTCACTTAATGAATCATCTTAATTTTAGGTATTGCAATCATCCTTTTCTTATATTTCTATTTCAGACTTGTCATTCTGAGGATGTGTGTAGGGAAGTGCTCCCAATTTAATGGTATCTGCCTAACCATCCTGGCCCTACTATCTATAACAATGAACCTTTTCCTCCTCTTCCCCAACCTCGATGGATCATATCTGAGAAAAGATCAAATCGGCAGCCATGGTAGGAGGATGCCAGGAGTTTGGGCTGGTGGATTGATGGTAAGTTGTCTAAAACTGGTGCAGAAATCTACAAAGAGATGGAAGTACAGTTTCAGGCATTGATTCTTTGATGGTATATTTGTCATGGGTATTGCAGGTCTGGAGGAATGATCATGTCAAGATGCAGGTTCTCTTTTTTTGTAACCCGTGGACCAGGGACATGCGTTCAGGGGAGGCAGGGGAGGCAGAGCCTCACCTAGTACTATAGAGGAAAAAGCTGTCAGACTCAAGTCTGAAGCTGACAGCTTTTTTCTTTTTTTCCCATTCAGAGCGGCTTGTTACAGGTGACACAGCATTGAAATCCTCCCCGCTGTGTAATATGTCATGGACGGAGCACTGCCTGTTAATTACAGGCAGCGCTGCATCAGGCTTTTGACAGGTAGTTAGGTTACACTGCAGCGGGCTATCCCACTGCTTACTTGATGAGGCAAGAATTGTCACAGCCTCTACTCTGTGTTAGAGGCGTGAGCTCTGTGGATGGCTTGGACCAATAGAAAAGCACCATTGGTCCAAGCTGTCCAATCAAAAAAAAGAAAAAAGAAAACAGTGAGGACATCGATCTCGATGCCTCACCGGTAACGAGCAAGTGAGGGATAGGGAGGCTCCTCCCTGTCTCCTCCCTTCCTCCTCCCCACATAGCTTGGTTGGGCAACAGAAATTTCCAGCATGCCAGTAAAACTATTATATGGAAACATACATGTTCAATGATCATATTATTTTCTCAATTCAAGGTGCTTCTGGTGGGTATACACTCCACAGTAATTGGATTTAAGGTGAAGAGACTCTCCTGCTGTGGAACTTGTTGTCATGTAAGTGTTGAAAAGAATTGTAATATCTAATATTTACCAGTGCCCACATTTTCTGCCCCCTATTAGTTCATTAATTAAGATTCTACATAGGCAGTAGTTGAGCACTTTGGGAAATGCTTCCATACATGAGATTCTTACCTGAGCTTTTGGTGGGGATAGCCTTGCTTGTTGGAAATAAAAATTGGACGCTGATAGTTCACACGTTAGGACAGGCATGTCAAACTGATGTCCACAAGGTCCCTTCATCTCGAGGGCTGTACTAACACAGATATAAAGAGCAATTGGACATTTTTAACTACAAATTTTTACTTATTCAAATTTACTTTGAAATGTACTGAGCATCACTTTCTTTAGCTCAAATTCACTAATGTTTACTCTGGTAGACTTATGGTTAGAGCAGTGTAAACCTTTCCGGGATACAAAGTTTAACTTGCGGGCGTCAGGGAGCTGCTATCTAATAGTGGGAGACTCCCAGAACATCCAGAAGAGTTGAGATGTCTGGTATCTATCTAATTACATGCACCAGAGCATGCCGTCACTATGGTAACAGTGCCTGTGTGGAGCCAATAGGACGCATCGCTGCACAGGTCTGAATTCACCCAACTCCCTCTGCTATTGTCTGATTGGATGCTGGACAGAGGACTCTTTCAGTGTTGGGTGCAGGAATGCAGAGAGCATTCCAGTTCTTGGCACACCACTGCCACTCTGCATGTTGTACCAGGATAAACTGGAAGCGGTAGTACCCGGTACAGACCACCACGCTCCACCCACCCAGGTACTCCACTGTATTCACATAATGTGGGTTTCAAGCCTTCACTCACTTGCTAGGGACTGATTTGTCATTAGTGTGGCTCTTGCTGCACATCATAAAAAGAAACAGGATGATTTATTATGGAGGGCAGATACTTCATTGACTCATGTGACTCATTCAGAAAATGCAAACTCTAGTATGGAGCCCTTTGTGTCCTTCAAAGTGTTAACTGCATAATGCTAAAGAGGACACTCCGTAATAGGTGGAAAGGCTAGTCACATGACTGATCAGTCATGTGACTGGACTCCTCTTTCTGGCACTTTTTCTTCCATTTATTGAAAAAAATAGATAATGATAATTAATAATAATGATAATTAATAATAAATAGATGCAATCTGAGATGAAATGCCCACTGTCCAGTCAGCTTCCCCTATTTATGTACCTGGCCCACCATTGCACTTGTTACTTTCCTCTTTTGACCCTATCACCTCAGAGGAGGTTACAAAGCTTCTCTCTGACACCCACCTCACCACTTGCCCCCTGGACCTAGTTCCCTCACCACTACTCCGATCACCCTCTTGCTCTATCCTACAATCTCTTACTCACATTTTTAATCTTTCCCTCTCTACTGGCATCTTTCGCTCCCCTCTAAAACATGCACTGGTCATCCCAATACCCAAAAAACCTTCACTGGACCCCACCAACCTCAACAATCTCAGACCTATCTCCTTACTCCCCTTCACCTCCAAATTCCCTGAACGCCTTGTCTACAATCGCCTGTGCTTCCACCTCACTGATAACAACCTTCTCGATCCCTTACAGTCCGACTTTCGCCCCCAACACTCCACTGAAACCGCCCCCCTAAAACTCACTAATGACTTACTAACTGCTAAAAACAATAACCACTATTCCTTACTCTTGTTATTACCTTTCTGCTGCTTTTGACACTATTGACCACCCACTGCTCCTCAAAAAACTCCCCTCGCTAGGCCTACAAGGCTCTGCTCTCTCATGGTTCTCCTCCTACCTATCTAAGCGCTCTTTTAGTGTAACCAACAAATCTACATCTTCCTCTCCTCTTCCTCTTTATGTATGGGTCCCCCAAGGCTCTGTCCTTGGACCCCTTTTCTTCTCTATCTACACCTCTTTTCTTGGTCAGTTGATCACCTCAAATGACTTCCAATACCATCTCTATGCTTATGACAGTCAAATATATCTCTCCCCTCCACAACTCACCTACTCAGTCTCCTTACGTATCACTAACTTACTAACTGACATATCAGTCTGGATGTCACAACACTTCTTAAAGCTCAATCTTTCAAAAACTGAGCTCATGGTATTCCCTCCACCCCGCGCACCCTCCCCCAACTTTTCGATCATGATTGATAACACAACTATCCAACCCTCCCCCCATACCATGGTGCTAGGTGTCATCCTTGACTCGGACCTCACCTTTCTTCCCCACATCCAATCACTATCCAAATCCTGCCGCCTTCACCTTCGTAACATCTCCAAAATACGCGCCTTCCTCACCAATTAAATCACAAAATTACTCATCCACTCACTTGTTATATCTCGTCTTGACTCCCTCCTCATTGGCCTACCTCTCCACAGGCTATCTCCCCTTCAGTCTATCATGAATGCTGCCAGACTAATCCACCTAACCAATTGCTCAGTGTCTGCAACCCCCCTCTGTCAATTCCTGCACTGGCTTCCAATAGCCCAAAGGATAAAATTCTAAATATTAACAACCACTTACAAAGCCATCCACAACTCAGCCCCCCGCTATATCTCAAACCTTGTCTCAAAGTATCACCCTAACGCTCCTCCCAAGACCTCCTGCTCTCTAGCTCCCTTGTCAACTCCTCCCATGCTCGCCTCCAGGACTTCTCTATAGTCCCCCCCATTCTTTGGAACTCTTTACCCCAACCTGTCCATCTATCTCCCACTCTGACAGCCTTTAGGCGATGCCTTAAGACTCATCTCTTCCTGGAAGCCTATCCGACCTCAACCTAACCACTGAACTATCACTTTCTCAAACAATCATCCCCACACAGCTACCTCCTCATGTATCACTTGCCCCTCCCTTTAGATTGTAAGCTCTCACGGGCAGAGCCCTCCTTACCATCTTGTCTTGAATTGTATTGTAATTCTAATGTCTTCCTTATATTGTAAAGCGTTGCGCAAACTGTTGGCGCTATATAAATCCTGTATAATAATAATACATCGGCTTTGCTTGGTTCAGAATTCCGAAGCAAGCATAACTCTAAGCACATTTGTAAAGTACACCAATGTGCTTTTTTTTTTTGTAAATTCTTTATTTCAATTTTTCAAACAATACAGGTAATAAATCAAAAGATACATAAACAGAACAGCATGGTATGTGGCTAAAGCGTCTTCCTCGTCAGAGCTTACAATTCAACCAACAGTTATGGGATTATCTTAGGCCTGGCTCGTCTTCCCCTCAGATCTCCCTGGTTCTGCTACCAGTATAGGAGGGCTGTCCGGCGGCGAATCTGGCCGGCTGTCCTGTGTCCCAGCTACCCGGTGGGGCGGGCAGTTTCCCCCGTTGAAAGGGGAGGAAGATGTCTCGTCGTCCGAGGGGGTCGCTCTGAAATCGAGGCCGGTCGGTGTGGAGGCTTCTCCGGCGTTCGTAGGCCTCTGCCGCATGTGGGGGGATCGTTCCGCAGGGAGGTACGTGGGGGTCACAAAAAGTCTCTTGAAGGCAGTCTTGGGGGTATATTGTGATCCCCTTGACTTGCCCCTTCTCCTCATAGTGCCAGAGATGGCGTATGGGCAGTGTGTGTTCCGATTTTCGGTAAGATGAGCCGGGAGCAGAAAGAAAGCACAGCTCACACGGCCATTGCCAAGCCACGCCCCTGGAGTTCACCACCACTGTGCTTTTTAAATGTGCCAATTTTTTATTTTTTAGGCAGCTGCTTTATAAATGTGCCCGAAAGTGCAAATAACCTGACATTATAATCAGTTTATTGTGGATTTTTATCCCGACTATAGTTCACTTTTATTTTGTTTGTTTATTACTCTAGATGCTGCTGTCTGATACTTTCTCCATTCTGGCGATGATTGGAGCTGCAACTTCCCTTTTTATCTCAGCTGCTGGATTGTTCAGTGGTCCCTACTGCTTGTACCAGGTGGAAGGTGGAGCAGCGCTGGAGTGGGGTTATCCATATAGAATCATTGCCTTTCCAGTCTTCAACACTAGGTACAATTTTACCTATTTGGATAATAAGATGATTATACTTCATTGACTCCGGATCTTTTTGTTATACATGCTATGTTCATTTTATAAAGCCACACAAAGAGATAAACAAAAAATATCTTCAGTATTATGTTTTGTAAAGTTGGGGAGTTCACGGAGCACTCACACAGGGATTTTCCATCAAACAAAAGTCTTTATCTTTTCTCTTTAAGGCAGTCAAAGACAGAAAACACAAATGAAGGCTGAACTTCAGCAAATAGGGTATATTGTCTCACCGACTCAAGGTTGTCCCGCTCACTCACAGTGTCCCAGTCCCAAGACCTTAACGTTTGCCTCAACAAAACGCCTCAGAGGTACTTCATACCCTTTAGCCGCTTCCAGCAGCTTTCCACACACCTTATATGCTTGGCTCTCTCAGCCTGTCCAATCCTCCAGCCTCCCTGGCTGTTCCTGGTGTGGCTCCACCACACCACCTGGCTTGGCTCTCGTGTCTCCAGCACGTGCCACACCATCTCTCCTCTGAGCTCTGGTTTGGATTCCTAATGAGGCTGCTCTCAGCCACTTGATAAGCCCAGACTGGTCGTTGGCAACACCTGGCCCCATGACTGAAGATTTCATCCAACCCAGAGCTTTAAGAAATCTCCATATCCCAGCTACAATTAGCAAAACCCAGAAGAAACTGAAAAGCCAGCTTCTTCCTTATAAAACTGTTTACATTATGTACCCTCTCACCACCTCTGGCTAAGAGTCCTGGCTGCCACATTATACACTGAGTGGCCAGTTAATTATGACCACCCCATCAGTACTTCGTTGGGCCACGAGATAACTCCACGAGATTACTTCGTTGGGCCGCCTCGTGACTCCACGAGATGTTGAAAGGTGATGCAAGGAATCTGACACTGCACTGTTGCCCTTCTGTTGTCTTGTACCAGTCTTGCCACTCTCCGTTCTGCCCTAACATTGACTAGTCGCTGATGGCCACAATTCGCACGTTCAGACCCAGATTTTCGGCTGACAGTCCGGTCTTTAAACACTTTAACAATGAGCCCCTCTTGAACATTTAACAAATTCTGCTGTTTTGCTGATACTCGCTCCATGGCTCCGAGCGCCAACAATCATCCCACGTTCAAAGGCTGTTAAATCGCGTTGTTTACCCATATCTTCAGAACAAAATCCCTTCTACTATCGTGGTAAACAACCTGTTTCCCTATTTATAATGGTCTGGCCCTCTAGCAACTTCAGCGTGAAATTATAGCTAATTATAGCTAATTTGCCTACAAACGTCAGGTGGTCATAATAAACTGGCCACTCAGTGTATACTGTATATACATTTATCAAACCTAGATTTGGTCTTTTGAAAAACTGATCTCAACTATTAAAAATAGCCAAAATCAATGACTATTGGTGGCCACTAGATGGAGCTGAGGAGCATAGGAAATAATCCATCTAGTTGTTATAATGCGGTATTTTCCTAATATTACATTCGATCTGAAAAGAAAATATACTAAGAACGTTATCTTTTGCCCCCATTTGCACAGAACGCATGCTCTCAGAGATCCTCAGGATGAATGGCTCTGTGAATGTTCATTTTATGAAGCCACACAAAGAGATAAACAAAATATATCTTCAATATTCGGTATATAGATACATTTATGGAACCTAGATTTTGTCTGTTGCTTTTAACCCCTTTGTGAAGGGAGAAATACACTGTACGACTGGCCATGTACACTGTACGTGACCAGTTATTTGCGGCTCTGTAATGCTGGTAACCGCTGATTCTCAGCGGTTACCATTGATTAATGATTGCCTCAGTATTGAGGCATTCAGTAATGAAATCGCTAAGCTTTTGTAAAAGCTTATTTCTTGAAAAGATTGAAGCCGTTACATACAAATACCGGATCACTATGATCGCTAAATAGCGATCCAGTATTTGACAGCTAAGATAGCAGAGAGGTAGCAGAGTAAGTCACCTCTCTGCTATTTGTCTTGACAGCTGGGATGTTATCGTTGTGCGATACATTTTTCAGGCACAATGTTACAATGTATCTCTGTGCCTGAAATGTATCACTAAATCTCTGTGCCTGAAATTTATCACTTTTGATCGTCTGGACAGGATCAGAAACCTTTAGTGAGATCTGAATCTGACATGCTGTCAGGATCAGTTTCTAAGGTTATTATTAGCTGTTCCTAAGTTTGGAGCAGCCTAATAATAACCAAAAACTAAAAAAGTTAATTAAATGATCAAGCAGTCATAGTGACTGCTTGATATAATTAACAACAAACAAAAAGTGTAAAAAAAATAAAAATCAAGTGTAAAAACATTAAGAAAATAAAAATTATGTCTAAATATATTTTTTCATACTATAATTATTATTAAAAAAAGTATTTCCATAAAAATCTAAACTTGTGAAAAAAGTGTTTTCTTTAAAAATTTTCCTCCTTTTTAAAATATTTTATTTAAACTAAGTGAGGGGTTAGGTACACGTTTGATATAATTATATAGCCCTATCTGTCCTCTAAAAAACAATATATAATATGTGTGGGTACATTTAGTAAGAAAGTATATTACTGCTGTGGAAGTATCACACAGCAAAAATGTAAAAAGTGTGTCAGTCATTTATGAACAGAAACTGAAAACAAGCTCAGTCATGAAGGGGTTAAAAAACTGATCTCAGCTATTAAAAATAGCCAAAATCAATCACTACTGTATTAGTGGTCTTGGTTGTTTTGTGTGAAGCTAAAATTCTACTACATGTTCTGCACCAGTGGAGCTTATAGTGACGTAGTTGTTACAATTACCAGTAGACCTTTGCTGCAATTGGCCAGTTGGCTAATTCTGGACTTCCCTTTTTTCTATTTTAAGAGGTTAAGGGATAAATATAGAGTCACTCTAAATTTACATTTCCATGTCACTAAAACCACTAAAACCACTAAAACCAAGCTCAGGCATGTTAAGATGTCAAAACCATTTTCATTATTTATAATTCTGTAGCTCCGGGTAAAAATTATTATTAACCCTTGCAGTGGGGCTACCCACTCCCCACTGCAAGGGTTAAGTGTTCGTTTTTGCCTAGGGTCAAAAAGAACAAAATTATACTCGTCCGATCCTTGGAGCCGACTGGTTGTGACAGTGCTCCCTCCAGCCTGTCTGCTCCAGCACTGCAGTGATGGTATGTCCCTGAGCGTCCTCACGCCCTATACACTGTTTATAGAACGCGATGACTCGGGGACCTTAGAGCACTGCAGCGGAGAGGGATAAAAGCTCCAAGGACCAGTCTAAGAGCAAACCGATGGGATTTACTTTTGATCGTAGGCAAGAAATGAGCACTTAACGCTTGCAGGGGTAGCCCTGTGTTCAGTGGGTCATCGTGTGCCTTCCACTGCACTAGGTGAGAGGTCCTCAGTCTTCCCCTAGCACAGCGATGTCAGTTCTCATTTAATATTTGCTGCCCAGCGCCAAGTGTCAGCTTGAGGTGGGGTGGGGTGGGCTGGGGCTATGGTCCCGAGGGAGCTCCATCAATACATGCATTGCTTACAGCTCCGTTGCTTGACCTGTAGAGTTGCCTGGACCGGAGTGACATCACATTCTGGCTCCCAGCACCTCTGCAGGGCACGCAAGGGAGCTGTACAAGCAATACACATATGGATGGAGCTCCGTCACAGCACAGCAGCTCACACTGGACCTCAGGCTAAGAATCCACTCCCATTAGCGGGTTGGGAGATTGGGTGGATCTTAAAAAAATTAAAAAAGATAAACATTTTTGTTGGAGCGTGGATGTGTGTGTGAGATTGTGTCTGTGGTTGTGTGTGTCTGTGGTTGTGTTTTTGAGGGCCCGTTCACACTAGTACAGTGCGTTAATTGCACAGTCATTAATGCACTGTACCATGCAATCGCACACACCACACATTCTGATCCGAGAGGTGCGTTGCGTTGCCATTCATCCCAAACACACCTTCCGCCCACAGTTTGATCACCCACACCAGAACACATGGTACCGCAATGTTGTTCATTCCAGTCCGGTGTGACTTGGGTCACGACTTAATGACCAATGATAAATATTTGGTCCTGAGGTTACACCGGTTGAGAACCACTGTAGGGTGTCTAATTATGGCTGTGCAGTCCACCAGAAGGCACCAGAGTTAAGGCGCCCATACACCTTACAAATATCGGGTGATTTTCATATGCGATCGCGTTTTCGTCCGATATTCGTAAGGTTGATGGGCAGTGTACAACCACAAATACTGTACAATTGATCGACTTTTGACTAACCAGCAGGTTAGAAAACTTCGGTTGATCGTACAATTTTCGCAAGGTTGGTGGCGTTTCCGTACGTCAAAATTCATACGATTAACACTGCTGATGCGCAAATGAAAATACGCTTACCGCAATTCGTCCAGGTGTTTTTTTTTCCACTACAGGCTGATTGAACCTTGCGAAAATCAGGGGAGGATGGAGCCGCCGTATGAAAATCGTACGGCGGTCCGATGACCACAAGGTGTATGGGCAGCTTAAGAGTCAATGCTGTCTATAATCAGCACTCAGTAACAGCTGCAGTCTGCAATACAAGTTTGTGTGAGCAATCCAGTGCTGAGGGATGTGGCTGTTACTCAGCTATGCAAGTACAGAGCACTGGGACTGGAAAGAAGGGTAGGAAGCAGTATTTGAAAAGGGGGAAAGGGCATTTGAAGGTATTTGCAAATAAAAACAGTCCTAAATCCTACATGGTGGGAAGATATAGGACTGTAAAGAGGTAAACAGGTGTTAGACTTCAACTGAGCTTTGAATCAACTGACTTCACTGAAAAAATGATAATTCTGTAGAGACTATTATATACTTACTTTTTTAGTTTAGTGCATTGCTATCATGCTAACCAGTGAGCTATTACCTAGTCTATGGACATGTGCACTGGCAAAAAAAAAATTTCGTTTTGTTTTCATTCGGATTTTCCGTTATTTTGTTTTTGGGGATTCGGGTCCGAAAGTCAATTCGTTTCGGAATTCAGATACGGACAAAAATAATCGTTAGCGGCAGTTATTCCCCCTTAAAATTCCTACCAGACCTAAAGGGTTTGGTATGGATTTTGGGGGGAACCCCACGCACGTGAAGGGTCTGGTATCAATTGGGGGGGAACCTTACGCTTTTTTTTTTCTCTTCTGCAGACTGTAAAAAAAAAAAAAAGTTATTTTTTTGTCTAATGTCACTTTGCGGCAATGAAAATGTGTCCACAAACTACCGCTAACAAAGTTCGTCCGAAATTTTCATTTTCGGAAATTCGGATTCGTTTTCATTCATCATGTCTGTCATTCAGAGATGCGGATACATCTGCATCTCCGAATAACGAAAACTCGTCCAAATAACGAATCTTTCCGAAATGAATCGCACATGTCTACTATTCTACCTAAGTGTTAGTTATTATGTAAAATACCACAATTTGCATGAATTGGTACTTCTCATTTACAGTTGTATTAATAATATATAAATTACTGCTGTTTCTTTACTTTGCAGCACATCAATCTCCTTACCTGACATCTCCCCCAGGAAGACGACCTGCATTGAACCACCAGATATAGAGACCTGGAACTCGCATTTCTTCATGGCCCTATGCCTAACCAACATATTGCAGATTGTCCTGTGCCTGTCCCAGTTGGTGAATGCCATCTTAGGCATGCTTGTGGGGCATTGTGACCGGAAGAAGGTTTGTAAAACTAAGCAAAAAGAGGAGCTTGCCCAGTCATCTGCAGCCCCCATTTACACATGGGCAATTTGAAGCACCAGAATTGCTTCAACACTCAGATTTCCATGGTATTCTACTGTGCCCATTCATACTGGAGACATGTGCTCATAGCTGGAAACTCATGACATGACAAAGTGAAATAAAAAGTACAGGAGATTCTCTGTGACATGATCACGTGTTTTTGCCCCTAACTTCAACAGTGCCTGAAAAATGTGCAACGCCTTCTTGTTTCTAATAGCTATCTTTTCATTGGCTAAAACAAAAGACAAGCTTTAAAAGGCGAGGAAAACAAACGTGTCCAATGCACAATAAAAGGTTGCCAACGCTGAATTTAGCCAACATTGGCTGAACCTTCATGTTATCTAAGGAAAGGCAAGCTTCATCAAAGCTTAGAGAAGCTTCACTGACTATTAGCAAGGAGTGGGAGGTAGAAAGGGGTAACCCAAAGTGCCAGCTTCCTAAGAGGAAGTTGGCAATTACATAAAGTGTCCAGGTTTATGGGCATCCTGGACATTCTGGAAGTGAACTGAACCTCTAACTCCTATGAATGAATACTTATACTTATTGCTAGTATAGGTACACTTTAATGACCAACATTTAATACCCTTTCCCATTTTAAGTTGAGATACATTTTTATTTTTATTCAGGGCATTCATTAGGGTTATCATAAGAGTGGACTTAAGGTAAAGAAAAAATATTTGTTGTGTGCACTGCTTCTCTTCTGGGGTTGTCGGCACCCTTCCGCCCAGCATCCCTCAATCAGCAGATTAAAGTAGCAGGTTGGAAAATCTTCAACCAAATAGAGCTTGCAGCCAAGCAGTTGCAAGCTCCGTTCCAGTAATCTGGCAGCGGCCGGCAGCCACGGTTAAAATGCAATGCAAACAATGGGGGATTCGTCCATCCACATTGTTCAGTGTAGATGGAGGATCCTGCTCTATCTCTTCACTGGTTGAATGAAAACTATAGAACCGTGTATACCCAGCTTAACGCAACAGATTTGAGTAAGAACATACAAAGCCTACAGTGCAGTACCATAAAATAGGAGACAGAAAGGTAATCCAATCTAAGAAATTATGAAAATATTATGAAAATATGGATATAAAACATTACAGGCAGGAAATATTTATATTTAATTTGACTATATCCTGGTTGATTACTCTTATGATTATACTTAGGGACTGACATTATCTATCCATTGAGTTAAAATGCTAATTTCAGTTATGTATAGCCCTCAGTTGATTGGTTTTTACAGGACATTTAAGGACTGTCTGGAATATCAGTCTTCAACTGCTCTCTGACTCTCTTGAGGAAGTTAATAGATAGCAATAGATTGCTGTATGAGTCAGTGGAAAAGGCTTAAGGAGGAACTGTGCTCTGGAATCTAAGCCTAGAAAAAAATAGGCAGAGAACAAATGACTAGTCACCAGTATTGCCTATGGTCTCTCTGCAGATGATCTCTCCCCATTATTGATTTACCATGCCTCGTTCCACAATGTGTTGCTGTTTGGAGGCAGGGTTTTGCCATCAGCAAGAACAACAAGGAGTGGCATAGATAGTGACATCACCAAATGTCACTCTAAATCTCATGGGAGTAGCAGGGCCGGATTTCCCACAAGGCCAACCAAGGCCCCGCCTCCGGGCAGCAGGGAGTAGAGGGCAGCCGGGGTGTGGAATTCCTAAATTCCGACACCCAAGACATACAGTTCCGGGCAGGTAGTTGTTTCCTACATTTAGCCCTGCTTTGGGCAAGCAGGGATAAATGTACAGCGGGGAGGCCGCCGCTTGTTTTGTACAAGTGATCTCAGCGATGTCGCCAAGATCACTTGTATGGAGCCTGCATACAGGGGGGGGGGGGGGGCGCATTGAGGAACCTGGCATTGGGGCAGCAGAGAGAGTAAATCTGGCCTTTGAGATTAGCAGTCCGCAGCAAATTTCCAAAGAGTGACATTATACTGTATTATACATTGTTCATTGAGAACAAAACACAATAAAACACACTAAGAAACAATCTCTGTGCTAATATTAGTTACTGTGTGTGGAATTGACAGGTTGCTAAGAAATGAAAGTTAAATCACCAAAATGTTATTTGACTTTTTAAATTTGTCTTTATTCTTTAGCTACATGAAGTGGATGGCAAATAGTTACAGAGAAATGGCATACAATTAAGGTTAGCTTGTTTGTTTTCTTTTATGAAGTTGCACAGTTCCCTTTCCTTTGGTCTTTGGTCATGGGAGGATGGAGTACGTTGGTTTTAAGTGGCAGGTTCTGTATGACCTCATATAGAGTAAAGATACTGAAGGATATCTGCTCATATGGAGATTTTAAACCATTTTCATATAGACAGGCAAAAGCGACTATGGGTGGTAACCCCACAGATCCATCTTCACCAGAAGGCAGCTCTATATATGATAAGTCGGAATAGGCACTGGGTCCCTCATAGATGACCCAGGGTCCTCTCCAGCTATCGGCATCCTTAGGATAGGTGCTGAGGTAGACTCCTAGGTTCAACCGTGAGTGTGTACTGGTGGGGTGGGAGTACAACACCCATGTAGGTGTCTGAAACCCTTTCCCAGTCCTGTGATGAGTCTTGTGTTGTAACTTTAACTTGGTTGGTAATCCCACACTAACATAGCAAGTGTCTTTACAATCATCCTCCCAAATCATCTGCCTATGGCAAACCAATTTACAGATATCTTTTCCACTGTTGGATTGCCATTGTTGTAGACCATTTTTAAATGAATTAACTTGGTCCTGTGCTTGAGGACCTATTGCATTCCATTTTTTTACATCTGACAGTGTAGCTCTCATCAGTGAGCTCTGGGGCCTGCAGCAAACTGCATTATTGATATCATGATTTGATAAAAAGGCCAGAGGAGCAGGGAAACCAATGACACTGCCATGACATCCACTAGGTGTCTCCACCAACTTCTCAACCAACTGTGCAGGCTGGAAGACAATGCCACCATCAGAGCTCAGAGCTTGTACTCGGAATCCTAAAGAGCTTCTGGCATTGCAGTACAGGATGTTACTTCCATCTTCCTCATCCACTGACACCAGTTGGCATTCCACTGTGTGCAGGTTTGGGATAAGTTCTCCAACTTTCCAAGACTTTCCATGGTCATCACTACGAAAGGCAAAGGCTTGTGGTGTAGTACGGCAAAGCTTGCCAAAGCAATTTCGGCAGTTGATATGATAAGTGTACGCAGGAACAAGGAGACGACCAGATTTTAGCTGGATACCATGTCCTGGTCCCAAAGCAAAGGTGGCCCATTCTGAGAAAAAAAGTAATACCCAAACATATTATGAATCACATTGCAGTGATTATAGCTCATTTATACAGTGTCAAACATATATAGTCATATTCATCAAGTTAAGACATAAAAGTGCTACATAAATGGCATAAAAGTAGGGATGTTCAGATACCAGTGCCGATAGTTGGCATTTTCATGAGAACTAATAGAGTAGCTGTGGTTGAAGCTGGGACCTGGCTCTGGTGCTTCACCACTGTCCTGAAATTAGTCTGTATTGTTTTAGAAAAACTGTCACATGACAACAAACAAAAATATATCAGTACTTGTATCTGAAAGTACTTGGACAAGTATCAGTACTTGTACTTGAAAAAACTGTATTGGTGCATCCCTTATATATATTTATTTAAAAAAATATCATACATTAAAACAGGAATGCACAAATCCCAGGAGCTCCTTAAAAATGACAGCTGCCTCCTAACTTTTCAATTGTTCTCTAGTCTAGTCTTGGAACTGGAAAAGTATTTGTACAAGTACCGAGTACGGTACTTGGTATCTGAACATCCCTACATAAAAGCATACAAAACTACCTTATGAAAACTTAATAAGGAATAAGAACCCTATTTAAATGAACAAGAGACTGATTCAAGAGGTAAGGGTAAACTGGCAGCAGTAGCTGTGTTGTAGATGACAGTGCTGTAATGGGATAAAGTTGGGAAACTGGAGTAGTGGAAGAGGCATCTTAGAATAAAGATATCTTTATTTCAGAAAAGAAGTGTTTCAAGGTGTTTGCTGAATGCCTGATCCATAAAGTATGGCAGAGAGTTTATAAAGAAAGGACACAGCACAGGAGAAACACTGGCGGCATACGTCAGAAGTATTCATCAGGCAGTAAGAAAGATGTAGTTTAAGGGCTAAGCAAAGGTTCTGGATGGTTGTATAAATGGAGAGTAAAGAAGAGATTCCAGGTGATAGGAGCTTTGGATGTTTGAACTAGGATTTAGTATTTTATGAAGTACACATGAGGTTTAACATTGCAGTAGAACTGCACCCTGTATCTTTAGGGGCTCTCTTAGTCAATCTGTTCTATGCACTTTTTCTATAGGATGTAGAGATACCTGTGTGGGCTTAAATTGTATATGTACAGTATTAACGTTGCCCATCTGATCCTTGGGAATTCCAACTACCTAGCTAAACTTTACTTGGCTATTTCAACATTTTGCTGATTTCCATGACTGAGAACAATCCATTTGGATGCCCTGGGCAATGTATAACACAAATATTGGTTTAGTAAGAATAGGAATGGTTTAGCACAGAGCAGAGGTGTTATACTAACAGGACACTGACAGATCAACCAGATATTTTTACATTATGACGCGGAACCTAGAAAAATACTAATTTTCAAATTATTATCCTTTGGCAGTTAACATAGCTCCGATATATGTGTATTTAATTATTTGCCCGGAGTTCAGCTTTAAATCATCACAGCTTGCTAAATGTCTAATTCTGCTCAAAGTATTCAGTGTATTAACATATGATTTCTTATTTGTACCTTTTAAGGATTCCCCAATCACTTGGTGAGTCAGGTCTGTGACATCACTCCAGCTTCTCCCTTGGTCAGAGCTTGTTATGAAGCACAGCCGTGCCAAATTCCGCCCAGTGATGATCTGGTAGGATTCTGTAGTACTGCCCAGGACAGCAATGAAGAATAGGAAGATCTGCCCTGTGAAGTCATCGTAGATTGGGCATGGATTCATTGAGCGATGTCCGGTCAGACGAGCTTTGTCCACCGCAACCATGTCCTCCCACTGTGGGGAAATGTTATACACTATAAAGGGAATTTATTAAAATTGGAGCAGACAAAATGTGGGGCAGCTGTGCATGGCAACCAATCAGCTTCTCTTTAGAATTTTCATAGCGTAACTGACCAAACTGAAGAGAAAAGCTGATTGGTTGACATGCACAGCTGCTCCACAGTTTGTCTGCTCTATTTTTGATAAATCCCCCCCAATGTCTTTATGTTATTGTATAAACATTTGATATTTAATTAAATTATACAATTATTACTTACATTGTAGCATATTTAGTACACATTTGTTCACCTTTGTATGTCATTATAATTGGGGTGCAGCACCTGTAGGCCACTGATCAGGGAAGTGCATTTAGAAAAGACAAGGTACAAATGCTCACCAGGCCAGTTTTGTTTTTACAGTGGAGAGCTGGTGTTATGATGGTGTCATGGCTTCCTTCTAAGTGTTGTGAATTGTATTGAGAAAGCATTGCTTGTTCACTGTTCTGCATAGGAATGGTTTTTAAAGGCCAACTTCAGACAAAAATGTTTTTTTCAGTTTTGGATAGAAATAGAAAGTTAAACTTTCAGCCTTTGACCCCACTGGGAAAATTCTCCCTTACTTCTGAAAAATATTTTCAGAAGTCCTAACCTTTCCACACTCCACTAAAAATGTTTTTTTTCTTTTTGTCTGTGTGCCTGTTGGAGAAATTTCCCATCATTTCTAATTTCTCTGCTATGACTCCATTCCATTTGCTGTGTGGTGTACGTGGGGGTGGTCCACAACCTTCACTTTTTGGGTGTGCAATCCCTCGAGAATTTGTGCAGTCCAGTGAGAGCACGGGATGACAACAAAGGGGAAGAGAAACGGACACACAATGTGAACAGTGAAGGTTCTTATTCATCCAGTTCATAGTAAAGGTAGTGGTAGTTAGCAACATTCAGCTGGACTTGTTCTGTAATGTTGTAGATATTTTGTAGCTAGCTTATCCAGATTACTTTTTTCAGAACTGAAGAAGTGGATGGGGAAAAACAAAAATGTTGGGAAAACAACTGAAGAAGTGGCATGGATGATCCTTTTGGTATTATAACATGGCTTTGATATGTTATTTTTGCTGTGACAAAGGCAAAGGTGATGGGGATTGATCTTATAATTAGTAGCTGGGATAGCTGACACTGTTGGCATATCAAGCCCTGATTCATTTTTTAATTGTCAGTCTCCTGACACTTAAGTTGACCATATACATGTTTTATTATGACACACACCCACAGGTCATATAGGGGAAAAACTCCTGCAAGCTGCATTTTTTGTGTTTTGACATTCAAGTCAACTAAATGACTAAGCTCTACTCAATGCCATGAAGTTTCTCCATTGATCTCATCATAACTGATTTTGTTGCTGCTTTCCAAGCTTGGTGGCTTTTTGAGACCATAACATACAGGGGTACAGGTACTCTTAAAAACCTAGGACCACACAGGGACTCATATACACACATGCAAACACTACACACACACTTACACATAAAGGTTGAACTGGATGGACCTGTGTCTTTATTCAACCTCAAATACTATGTAACATACACTTCAAAGTGCAATATTTAATTCCATGTTCTATATCTAAAACGTCTTTTGTAGAGTAAAGTCTAATTAAAGGACAGGAAAGCTTAATGTAATGCAGTTTTGATCCATTTAGCTTTGCTGTACCATACGCTTGAATAGCATATATAAAGTGACAATACTTCTTTAGAACCTTCCCTAAGCTTTCTCCTGGAAGCCCACATAAGTACCTCTTCCCCCTGTCTCTCATTTGCAAAGCAGCCATTCCCACCACAAGCCTGATTTCACATTAGAGTTCCCCCTTCACATCTGAGCCGGCCTTTCACATCAGAAGCCCCATCCCCTTCATACAGAAGCCCCCTGCACATCAGAGTTCTCAGCCCCCCTTCAGATCAGAGTTCTCAGTCACTCTTTTACATCCGAGTCCTACCAGCACATCATTAGGCAAAGCTGTGCCAGCATGGTAGAGGACTGGAGGCAGAGCAAGCCTGGCTGGAGGTGAACTTCTGTCCTTTTCTAAATGGATCCCACCCTTCCTGGATTAGTGTCATTAATTTCCATGGGTCTGGCCTGCCGCACCATGGAAAGGCATGGAAAGACTTGAGGAAGTCAGAAGGCACCCTGGTTGAGAAATGCCTTACTGATTGTATCAAATTTGATCAAAAATTTGTATAATTTACAGAACTACAAAAATCTTGTTTAGGATAACTCTAGCAATACAATATACAATACAACTAACTCAACTGTCTATCTGACCTCCACATAGTTACGGTAAAAAGTACCACGTCGCAATACTAGTAGATTGGCATGAGCATCGTCCACACTCAACCTCTCTTCTGCAAAAGCCAGCAATGTTGACCAACGAGGGATGTAAAGTAGGGCAGGTACACGGTACGTGACTCCATTTTTTTCCCTCTCGAATAAAACTGTGCGAGCGGGCACGTGGTGGGATCCCATAACACCTTCAAAATAAAACATTTTTGTGAGAAAAGAGATAGTTAGTTTGAATTGACACACACATACTTTCTTTCTACATCGTATCACCCTTGTACTATATTCCATCCCTTCCTCTATGATCACCCTGTGTCTGTAGACAGTAAACCTTACACTTCTGTTCTACTCTTTAATCCTCCTATATATATACATTTTATGCTTAGGTTACCCATGGCACGCGCATTTCCATATTTAGCTGTTTCTTCCAGTAATCCCTTTTGTCCCTATACCTGTACACTGTACAGTAATACCTTGGTTTATGAGCATAATTCGTTCCGCAAGCATGCTTGTAATCCAAAGCGCTTGTATATCAAAGCGAATTTCCCCATAGGAAATAATGGAAACTCAGATGATTCGTTCCACAACCCAAAAATATTCATATAAAAATGATTACAATACCGTAATGTAATATAATACTGTACAACATATAAAGAAAATAAACCAATTACCGGTACCTTTGTGGCTGGTGTAAGTGGGACAAGAGAGAGGAGGATTATTGTGTAGGACGACTTTCACTATCACTAACGGAATCACTGCTATCTCTTGACTCAATGGAATCTTTTTCATTTCATGAAACCTTAACAAGGAATCTATCCAATGTGACATTGCATTGTCATTAAACAGACTCATCGCTCGCACTGCTACAGCCTCATTCGGGTGGTACTTTTCTACAAAATTTTGCTCTTATTACAAGACATTGCTTGTATATCAAGGCACAATTTTTCAGAAATGTTTGCTTGTCTTGCAAAACACTCTCAAACCAAGTTACTTGTAAACCAAGGTATTTTACGGTATTTATAATGATGTATATGCATGCTGTACACCTTATGCTCTATTTTCATGGTATATATGCACTCTGTATTCCTTACATTCTATTTGTATGTTGTAACTGTACGATATATTCGTTAAACAGTCTTATGTTGTACCTGCACAATGTATTCCTTACACTGTGTTATCACATTGTACCCTTGTGCTGTTCTTCTTAAAGTCTATTATCACACTGTAAATACTCACTGTGTTCTTTATGCCACTTATGCTGTATTTTTACAGCACCTCTACACTGCATTCCTTACACTCTAATATCATGATGTACCTGTACTCTGTATTCTTTACATTCTATCATTATAGTGTACCTGTACTCTGCATTCCTTACACTCTAATATCTATCATCATGGTGTACCTCTTTGCTGTATTCCTTACACTCTGTTATCTAGGTGTACTTGTACCCAGTATTCATTAAACATTATCATGGTTCGTTATCATGGTGTACCTCTACACCCCTTCCTTACATACTGTTATCATGGTGTACCTCTACACCCCTTCCTTACACTCTGTTATCATGGTGTACCTCTACACCCCTTCCTTACACTCTGTTATCATGGTGTACCTCTACACCCCTTCCTTACACTCTGTTATCATGGTGTACCTCTACACCCCTTCCTTACACTCTGTTATCATGGTGTACCTCTACACCCCTTCCTTACACTCTGTTATCATGGTGTACCTCTACACCCCTTCCTTACACTCTGTTATCATGGTGTACCTCTACACCCCTTCCTTACACTCTGTTATCATGGTGTACCTCTACACCCCTTCCTTACACTCTGTTATCATGGTGTACCTCTACACCCCTTCCTTACACTCTGTTATCATGGTGTACCTCTACACCCCTTCCTTACACTCTGTTATCATGGTGTACCTCTACACCCCTTCCTTACACTCTGTTATCATGGTGTACCTCTACACCCCTTCCTTACACTCTGTTATCATGGTGTACCTCTACACCCCTTCCTTACATTCTGTTATCGAGGTGTACCTCTACACCCCTTACTTACACTCTGTTATCATGGTGTACCTCTACACCCCTTCCTAACATTCTGTTATCATGGTGTACCTCTACACCCCTTCCTTACCCTCTGTTATCATGGTGTACATCTACACCCCTTCGTTACACGCTGTTATCATGGTGTACATCTACACCCCTTCGTTACACGCTGTTATCATGGTGTACATCTACACCCCTTCGTTACACGCTGTTATCATGGTGTACATCTACACCCCTTCGTTACACGCTGTTATCATGGTGTACATCTACACCCCTTCGTTACACGCTGTTATCATGGTGTACATCTACACCCCTTCGTTACACGCTGTTATCATGGTGTACATCTACACCCCTTCGTTACACGCTGTTATCATGGTGTACATCTACACCCCTTCGTTACACGCTGTTATCATGGTGTACATCTACACCCCTTCGTTACACGCTGTTATCATGGTGTACATCTACACCCCTTCGTTACACGCTGTTATCATGGTGTACATCTACACCCCTTCGTTACACGCTGTTATCATGGTGTACATCTACACCCCTTCGTTACACGCTGTTATCATGGTGTACATCTACACCCCTTCGTTACACGCTGTTATCATGGTGTACATCTACACCCCTTCGTTACACGCTGTTATCATGGTGTACATCTACACCCCTTCGTTACACGCTGTTATCATGGTGTACATCTACACCCCTTCGTTACACGCTGTTATCATGGTGTACATCTACACCCCTTCGTTACACGCTGTTATCATGGTGTACATCTACACCCCTTCGTTACACGCTGTTATCATGGTGTACATCTACACCCCTTCGTTACACGCTGTTATCATGGTGTACATCTACACCCCTTCGTTACACGCTGTTATCATGGTGTACATCTACACCCCTTCGTTACACGCTGTTATCATGGTGTACATCTACACCCCTTCGTTACACGCTGTTATCATGGTGTACATCTACACCCCTTCGTTACACGCTGTTATCATGGTGTACATCTACACCCCTTCGTTACACGCTGTTATCATGGTGTACATCTACACCCCTTCGTTACACGCTGTTATCATGGTGTACATCTACACCCCTTCGTTACACGCTGTTATCATGGTGTACATCTACACCCCTTCGTTACACGCTGTTATCATGGTGTACATCTACACCCCTTCGTTACACGCTGTTATCATGGTGTACATCTACACCCCTTCGTTACACGCTGTTATCATGGTGTACATCTACACCCCTTCGTTACACGCTGTTATCATGGTGTACATCTACACCCCTTCGTTACACGCTGTTATCATGGTGTACATCTACACCCCTTCGTTACACGCTGTTATCATGGTGTACATCTACACCCCTTCGTTACACGCTGTTATCATGGTGTACATCTACACCCCTTCGTTACACGCTGTTATCATGGTGTACATCTACACCCCTTCGTTACACGCTGTTATCATGGTGTACATCTACACCCCTTCGTTACACGCTGTTATCATGGTGTACATCTACACCCCTTCGTTACACGCTGTTATCATGGTGTACATCTACACCCCTTCGTTACACGCTGTTATCATGGTGTACATCTACACCCCTTCGTTACACGCTGTTATCATGGTGTACATCTACACCCCTTCGTTACACGCTGTTATCATGGTGTACATCTACACCCCTTCGTTACACGCTGTTATCATGGTGTACATCTACACCCCTTCGTTACACGCTGTTATCATGGTGTACATCTACACCCCTTCGTTACACGCTGTTATCATGGTGTACATCTACACCCCTTCGTTACACGCTGTTATCATGGTGTACATCTACACCCCTTCGTTACACGCTGTTATCATGGTGTACATCTACACCCCTTCGTTACACGCTGTTATCATGGTGTACATCTACACCCCTTCGTTACACGCTGTTATCATGGTGTACATCTACACCCCTTCGTTACACGCTGTTATCATGGTGTACATCTACACCCCTTCGTTACACGCTGTTATCATGGTGTACATCTACACCCCTTCGTTACACGCTGTTATCATGGTGTACATCTACACCCCTTCGTTACACGCTGTTATCATGGTGTACATCTACACCCCTTCGTTACACGCTGTTATCATGGTGTACATCTACACCCCTTCGTTACACGCTGTTATCATGGTGTACATCTACACCCCTTCGTTACACGCTGTTATCATGGTGTACATCTACACCCCTTCGTTACACGCTGTTATCATGGTGTACATCTACACCCCTTCGTTACACGCTGTTATCATGGTGTACATCTACACCCCTTCGTTACACGCTGTTATCATGGTGTACATCTACACCCCTTCGTTACACGCTGTTATCATGGTGTACATCTACACCCCTTCGTTACACGCTGTTATCATGGTGTACATCTACACCCCTTCGTTACACGCTGTTATCATGGTGTACATCTACACCCCTTCGTTACACGCTGTTATCATGGTGTACATCTACACCCCTTCGTTACACGCTGTTATCATGGTGTACATCTACACCCCTTCGTTACACGCTGTTATCATGGTGTACATCTACACCCCTTCGTTACACGCTGTTATCATGGTGTACATCTACACCCCTTCGTTACACGCTGTTATCATGGTGTACATCTACACCCCTTCGTTACACGCTGTTATCATGGTGTACATCTACACCCCTTCGTTACACGCTGTTATCATGGTGTACATCTACACCCCTTCGTTACACGCTGTTATCATGGTGTACATCTACACCCCTTCGTTACACGCTGTTATCATGGTGTACATCTACACCCCTTCGTTACACGCTGTTATCATGGTGTACATCTACACCCCTTCGTTACACGCTGTTATCATGGTGTACATCTACACCCCTTCGTTACACGCTGTTATCATGGTGTACATCTACACCCCTTCGTTACACGCTGTTATCATGGTGTACATCTACACCCCTTCGTTACACGCTGTTATCATGGTGTACATCTACACCCCTTCGTTACACGCTGTTATCATGGTGTACATCTACACCCCTTCGTTACACGCTGTTATCATGGTGTACATCTACACCCCTTCGTTACACGCTGTTATCATGGTGTACATCTACACCCCTTCGTTACACGCTGTTA